TAGCAACTGGAAAAAGGCTCCGGCGGTGACAAGTTTGAGTTCTTCTGCTATATTTCATTCACTTCTTTCCATTCCTCTATTTGACCAGGATCTGATGTGATGATGCTTTGAGGGTGAATGTGTTTGCTCCATTTTCAGGTTTTTCTCTTTGTAGCCCCAGTTTTGTCAGATCAGGGATCTCACGGCTTATTAATAGCGCGTTCATTTTTTATGTTGAATACTTTAAGGATGCTGAGATAGAGGCAGGTGTGGAGTACTTTCAAGGATGGAAAAATAATTCAGATGTTATAGAAACCAGTTACTCAGGAAATATCTGGCACTTAGCAGCTAACATGAAAGCAAACTGATGCTTATGGGTAAAAATCTGGTGACTGATTACATGTTTTAATTCTGCAACTCGTGACCTTTTAGGATAAACAGGAAACACACACGTTGATTAAGCTAAAAGGAGACACTGATCATAGTTTGAACTTTTCCTCCAACAACAGTGATTAAATATGGTGTAGAATTTCTGCAGCATTGGACCTGAGCAGTGATAAGATGTTCAATCTGAGCCTTGACTCATTCCCACAAGGGCAGAAACATGATTTTTCATATCAGATAAAACTGGTTTAGAGCTAAATGTTGCAGGTTGTTTGACTCGTTGAGATTTGATTTCACTCAACCCAGCTGGATGCGTGTTTATTGTTGCAGTTATGGTCTAAAACTCAGTCCTCTGACCACAGTAGAGCGCAGTCTTACACCCTGTTTCCTGAGTGCTGATGTATCTCCAATTCCGTAAGGCACTCCCCTGCCCTCCCTTGGGTTTATCCCAGTTGTCATGGTAACACGCTGCAGTCTCACCGACCTAAATACCCCAAAATGAGGATTATATCATGACAAGATGTATCAGAAAGCATCCCATACTGTACACTGCATGTGTTGGTATTTTTAGTGATCACTGCGGTCAATCTCCTGTAGAAAGAAAGTCCTGTGTGGGGAACAGGAAGTAGAATTAAGACTGTGGTGGGCTAGGAGAGTGAAGAAATGGCTTTTAAATTAGTTTGAAAATTGGACTCTGCTCTCTGCTGTCACCGAACACATCTGTCTCATGCAAACCTCCTCTGAATTGTTTATTTCTAAAACAATATGCAACTTGTTCTCAGACTCACTCGCTTCGGTACATATTTAGAAGAAGTTGTGCTGTCAACTCAAACTAAAATCCAAAACCTTCTGTCGCATTCAGCAGTCAGGTAGTTGTTTGGAAGCAGGATCAGATCCTAATGGTATTTTGAATGTATAGTATTCATGTTTCTACAGTAGCATAGAAGATATAGTGATGCACAAAAGTATTACTTAATGTCACAGTTTTTTGGTGGTATGGCTGGTGCTGTTATGGTCCATATTCAGTCCTGCAGTATGTCTTATGTGTTTTATGGCGTTAGTGAATCATTCCACATCCTCAGCGTCTCGTCCACACTGAGCAGAAAGACGTTATACAAGCATCCAGGAGGTTTTTTTACAAGTCTAATACAGTTGTGTCTTAAATGCATTACACAGTTTTCTATAACTGTTTCCACTCTAGTAGAGGTTAGCTGCAAAGCAAAACTCACAGTATTAAGAGTATTATGTCTTATGTTACAATGTTTACACCTCCTACAGTATCAGTTGAACACATACAGTAGAACTAGCTAAGAGTTTCACTGCGTAGATTTCTGGGTACCACTTTCTACTGTAATAATGGGTTTATAAGATGTATCTTATGGCTTCTTTAATGAATAATGTTTTACTTAAGAGCTACTTTTGGGGTGGCCACATCTAAAGTGATGTTACAGATGATAATAAATCATCAAAGTTTCCTGAATTTCTCTTTTTATCAAAAAACTTCAAGTCTTCGATTGTCAGTGTAGTCTATATGAAAAAGACAGACTTTTCAACCTGTCAACCCAAAAGTTGTCCCTATTAATGAGTTATATGATCTGTAAAACCATGAATCAAGCCATCATTTACAACTAATAACCCCTTTGTAACTCCCTAAATGGTGAGTTATAAAGACATTAAATAGATGACGTCTCTGAAGACAGATGTTGTAATTCATATCAGACAGAAACTGAATGCATGCTCTGCTGTGTCATGGTTCGTATCCACTTTTTAAGCAGCTCGACCCAGTGAAGAAGCAAAAAGTAGTTATTGGTAGATTGTCTCACAAGGCTGCACAGAAGTACCATTAAAATCTTGACATTTTTTACATTTAACAAGCTAACGAAGGTTTCCCTTCACCTTTTTGCTGCTGTGAATTTGGAGTAAGCCATGACATCTGTGCAGAACAGTTGCACTGACTTCACTGCAGGGCACTCGGTAATTGATGCTCACACTAATGAAGCTTTCTGAGCAAACGTTTGAAGAAACCTCTTTGTTTAACATCTCATTACTGTCTGTGCACAGTGGGCTGCAGCTGTGTGCAGCATTCAGCAAAATACAGAGAGTTTGCTTCCCATACATGCATGCACTGAGTACTTATTAGCTCCTTTCATGTAGCAATAAGGTTGCTGCTGCGAGACGGACTGCTCCGGAGCAGAACTTGTTTTCTCCTGGTCTGTCAGACAAGGTCTTCCTCAGCTCCTTGTTTTCGCTTGGCACTGCGCTGGTTTATTTTGGACACAAACAGGAAATGAGGACAGTTCGGTATGAGAGGGCAGTGAGGAGTGTAGTTTGAAAGGAAGTGAGCCAGTGCGATGCATTATTACCCCAGTGTTACAACAGAGCAAATGTGTACAAATAATGTGTAATTGTGGTGACAGGGTGTGTTTTTGGATGCTGTTTTTGTGTTCTTTCTATTAACCGGTGACCATTTGTAACGCTACAGTTTCCTGTACAACATGTTAATATGCATCATGTAAAGAATATGACAATAACTCAGCCGTGTGTTTCATGGACGTGGAAACTAGTGTGTTAAAGTGTAACACATGTTCATGTTTTTGGCTCCTCGGCTGTCACACATGGAGCCGAGCCGGCCGCAGTTAGCAGCATCGACAGCGGCGGTGCTGCTGCTGCTGCTGCTGCTAGGAATTACGGGGGAGGGAGATGAACAATTCAAGACTTCCTGAATTAAAGGGCTCGAACCAGGGAGCGTTTGTGTGTGTGTGTGTGTGTGTGGGAGCTGAGCTGTGTGTGTGTTTTGGCTCAACACAGCACAGTTTAACTCTGCATCAGCAAATAGTTTTTTGGACTGTTGTGGGTTGTCCAGCTGTGTACGAGCACAGTGTGTTTTAGGTTTTCTGCACAGCTGGATGATGAGCTGATGGTACTTTAGCTTACTTACTGGTACTGGTGCACTTTAAAAAATGTGTTGGTGTCCACCTAAGGGGCTCGCAACTGCTGAGTATTCCAGTATAAAAATCAGTTTCGGTACACGTGCTTAGAAAACCTCAACATGTATTGTGTTTCTTCTTGTGTTACACAACAGGTCCCAGTTCCTGATCTCCTAATGATCCCGCATATTTTGAAGAACAATCCTGGGAAATAATCATTCTAAAAACTACTATTTTAATTGTTCTCCAACCCTTTAAAACTGAAAAACTGAATGTTATTCTCTTCCTGATTGTAATCTGATGATAAATACCCAGGTGGACATGCTGTTCATGTTCACCTCAGTGATTTAGAATCCATTCTTTATTAAATAAAAATAAAAATAAAAATAGACCACCCGTCCTATCGTCAGTTAAAACCCGAGGGCATCTGAGAAACAGTTTATCTGACCCAGGTCTGTATGCTACCCCTGTTTTTGGACTTTGGATGTACATATTTACGAATGTGGTCTCTCTGGCTCTGTTTTTACATGAGGAATACCAAGCTGAGTTACAAGCAGAAAGCATTTTGTTGTGCATGTAAGCTAGTACCTGGCATTTTGTATACATGAAAGACTAAGGTATTGCCAGTTTTCTTTTGCTCCAGTCAAGCATGCTGTTTCTTTTTTTTCTCATCTACTGTATCAGGTGTGTTTCAAGGGCAGATTTCCCCTTGTGGTTGCATTTTGTTTTCCTTTGACCTGTTTACCTTTATAGCCTAGGATTCCAGTTTAGTATTTACCAAATTAAAATCTTTGAAAATGATGACAAACAAAGCAAGATTATGGACTAAAGTATATAAATCATGTTTTCCCCGTGACTTTTAATAAATATAACAACACAATGATTTTCTAAAAAGTGCTAAAACCTGCACTGTTGTAAGAGCAACTACATCATGATGTCCATTTACAGAATTAAGTGTCCTCTGAGTAGAAGTAGGCTGATATTGTGTGGTTGTACAATCATTATGATTTAATATTTATTACAGTGTAACCAGCAGGGTTGTGTGTGGTAACGTCATACCTACTGTATTGGTAACGTACTATTTTATGCTGTTTATATGAAGGCATCTTGAAAAGTTTTTTTATAATGATGAAAGTGTTTCTGTGGTTCTGGGCTCTGACATGTACAAATATTACATATTGTACTTTCCTGTATGACACATAGGTAATGTGTGAAACGAGTATTGGAGATTATTTTCTTTTTTTAACAGCAAAACAATGCTAACCATCATTTTGTGTGTTTTGGGATGTACCAAGTCTTAAGATCACCAGGTTGTTGGGTTCTGAAAGTCTTTCATGTTACCAAGTATCATGTTGGCCCCCTCTGTTGGCTGTTGGATCTGCTGTTTTTCAGCTGAGCAGCTTTTTTGTGGCGAACATAAACAGGAGCACTTGCATTTACAACATGTTGCAGATTTTTAAAAAAAGAAGACCCTGATTTTGTGTCTCATTAAGGATGTGCACTGGACCAGTGTTTAGAAGAAGACAGTACATTCCACCATTGTGTTAGACCTCTAACCTCCAAACGTTTGTTTCCTTTATGCTTTTGTAAAAACAGCTACTTTGCAAACCAATAAACTTCTCATCTTGGAAATGTTCTTGTGCTCAGATGCTCAACACTGAATATTCACACAGACAACAAATAAAACAGGTGGCTACATCCCTGTTAAACTACAGTGTGTACGTTTTTATTGAGGGAATTTAATCCATCACTAGTGACAGAAAATCCCTCTGAGGGTTGGCTAAGAAAAAGCACATATTTTATTTTTTCATTCTTACACTATGAAATCTTAAATCTTCAGGGCAGTTTCACACAGTTTTGTCCATAGCCTGTATTGTGTTTGGGTCTGTATTTAAGCATTTTGTTCCTAACTCTAATTATAATGAGTAATGCAATCAGGTATATTTCAGGCTATATATTCTGCTATACCACTATATTTATTTAATTATTTATTTAAGTTCTCTCTGTAAAAAAAGAAGAAAGTTATTATCCAAGGATAAAGACCATCCTTAAAATGAAACCCACACTATGTCAATAAACATATAAAAATATCAACAAGAGGTTAAAACGTGGCATAGAGGCAGCAGCCTCATATCCTTTATAAAATAAATACCTTTATAACCTTAAATTCATTCATTCAAACCATGTTTTAAGACAAAAGAAGAACACATTAGAAAACGAAGAATGTCTGACAGGAATGAAAAACAGCACATTTCTATTCCAGAGTAAATCCCAAAATCTGAGTCAGAAATGTTCTTTCATGTTTAACAGATGCATCTGAAGTCTCAGAAGACATGTCTCTTCCTCGGCAGGAGTGGGATCCCAACACGGAGCCGCAGCAGAGCCAAGATCAATTATTCCTGCAGATCAAAGGAGAAGAAATTGAGCTCACAGCAATGCTGGAGGCCACTCCCTCCAACTGTGTGTGAAACAACTTCATAATGAAACAGAAGGAAGTGCCAACTGTCAGGCCCCTTCATCAGACTGCTCTGCTGCAGCACTTGTAAATAAAGAAGAGGGGAAGCTTGACTCAGGCTCTTAACCGTCATGAAGCTTTCTGTCAGGCTTTCTTTCTTTCTGTGGAAAGACCAAGAGAAGTTTACCTCCTCATTCACAATCTCACACTGAGGTCAAGTTCTGTCACATTTACTGTCTTTGCTTTATAAAGGATACATTAAAACACATGCTTGAGTATAGCCTACTCTTAATTAGGGATAGGATACTCTGAGTCTTTGCTGTGCTTTTTTGTAAATGCATTTCAAATTCACTCCTGTGCTTTTTTGTAAATGCATTTCAAATTCACTCCAAAAAGGTTAGAGATAGGTCTACACAGTCTCCAGGTATACTTAAAGGAGCTCACTTGCTCCACCTCCTGGCCTTTTTTCTTTATTTAGAGTTTGTAAACAGGAAGTCACACTTCAGTTTATTATGATTTATTAGTATTTATGCATTTTGAATAGAAATCTTTTGTATAAGATAAGTATATATAAGTATTTATACACTTTTGTATAAATGTATTCTTTAAAAATCCACAAGCTAGAAAGCAAGAAGAAGTAGGCCTACTGTATTAATCCCTCCTTGGGAAATTCAATTTAATTTAAAAGCCGTCCAAAGAGTAAAAAAATCAATGAAAAATGAACTCAAAATATGTCAGTAAAGTAGGTTGTCAAAAATAGACTATTTCTACAAGGCAGTAGACCTATATAAATTGTCGTGGCCCTCCTTTCTTGGTTGGTAGCGTCCTCCAGTCCCTCTGGTCTGTGTGTAATAAGCAGGCTACTGTTTATTTTGGTACGGTATAGCGTACATGTTGGTCTGCAGTTGGTAGCCCGGGGGTTGTCCAAGTCTGACACTGTGGGCCTCCCTCTTCTTGCTTTACTTGCTTAGTTTCCCTCAATTCTTGGATACTTGTGGAATCATGATGATGTTACTTGAACCAACAAACACTAAAAGAAATAGCCTAATATTGCTGTTTGACATAACTAACTACACCAAATACACAAAAGAGGTAGTCCTGAGGCGTTTAATAGTTTCTGACTCTTGGAAAGTAAGAAAAAACAGTAAACAAGAGTATGAACTATCTCTTTAACCAAATCCCACACATTTGGGCTATTGCATGTGATCTTCTTTTGATAACTACTGTAGTAACTAATGCAGTCGTTTTTCATTCCCATTCACTGAGCCTGGAAATGTTTGGAGCCTGAGGAGGCTTACCTCTACACTGACAACCTCTTGTGTAGACTACAATAAATACAGTTACACAATCATGCTATGACAATTGTTACATCTCATACAATCTTAATTATTGTGTACTTTTACCATTTGGTCTGTAGTTTGGGACTACTTTTTGAGTGGGCGCATGTAGACGCTGACGCAGTTGACGTTACACGGAAGTAATGGTGTTTGGTCTGAAAAATAGCGGAAACAAGTTGAGGGAAACGAGGGCTGGATCCCCGAAATAAGAGGAAACATGTCTTGTTGTGCCGTTGGATGTAAGAACAGATATTCAACAGCTAATGGGCTTCATTTTTACAGAATACCGTCGACGAACACGCCCATTGAAGCTGAGCGCAGACGTTTATGGTTGCAAGCCATCAGACGGTCCGACTGGACTGATGAAATCATCAGTCACGAAACCATCAGTAATGCTCGTCTCTGCAGTGCTCATTTCATATCAGGCAAGGTTTCCTCCACTGTTCATCACCCACAAAGGCAACGTGTAGTTAGACAATGGCAGCGACCTCAAAGCTGGCTTTCTCAGTTGGCTGTTTCCTAATGATAAACACCGCTGACCAACAGCAGCGGCATTAGCAACGGTGTTAGCATGTAAGCAACATACAAGTTAACAAGCCTGGCTGCTCATAGACAGTCAGCTATAACCTCACTATTGAACCCACATTTAACGAATGAATGGGGTAGATGGTAATATTATATGTGATAATGACATTTACTTTATACTGTGACTGAACACAGACCATGTGGCCGCGTTATATCATTGGCATATTGTTCTGACTTACAGGGGAGTCATCCACGGATCCAGACAACCCAGACTTTGTTCCCTCATTGTTCACCTGTATGGAAGAAGCTTCCAAGAAAAGGGGCAGGTAAAGTTGTTCCTTTTAGTTTGCTATCATTTTACCTTTTACAGATGGTGGTAGTATATCTTAACTCTATCTTGGTCGGTATATGTTTCCCAGGAAGAGGAAGAGGGCTGACACATCAAGCGCTCTCACTGCAGTTCAAGGCTCCTCCACTGTGGATCCAACAGACTCTCAGCAGCCTCCGGACTGTCAAGAGGAGCTTTGTACTTGTAAGAGTTTTGCTCTGTAACCCAGGGATCTACCTTTTGTAATAATGCAGAGTTTAGCTCTATAAAGACCTATGGAAGCAATCTGTTCTGTATAGGTTTAAATGCTGAATGCAGTATGTCTCTTGCATGGATAAAAAGTCAGTTTTCAGTGTGTGTGTTGGAGGTTTCACTCGTGCAAGTTGACAGCAGATGTCCTCTCTGTCCTTTAGACACCCAGCCGGTCTCTGAGGAACTGCGCCCTTCATTGCAGCCATGTGACATAAAGGTGGAACAGAGTCCCGTTCGGGAGGAAACAGAGATCCAAGAGCACCCACGGGTCAAAGAGGAGCAGGTGGATCAGTGCATCAGTCCCGACATGGAGGCTGATACTTCCAACAATGCTGAACTCAAACGTCCAAAATCAGAACCAACCACTGACTGTGATGTAAACGAAAGCATAAATGACAAAGGGAGTGAAAGTGATGGTTCATCGTCGCCTCGTCCAAGTCATAGCATTGAAGTCTTTGTGGAACTGGAACAACCTCCGAGAGAAGAAAAGTCTTGCCGTTTTTGTGGTAAAATATTCAGAAGGGACTCTTATCTTATAAGACACGTAGAAAAGAGTCACAAAGGGAAGAAACCGTTCAGATGCCTGAAGTGCAACAAGGAGTTTGAACAAAGGTACCGTCTAATTCTGCATGTAAGAATTCACACTGGTGAAAAACCCTTCAGTTGTGATTTCTGTGACAAAACATTCACTCAGAACTCAAGTCGTACTGTTCACATGCGGGTGCATACTGGAGAAAAACCATATTTTTGCACTAAATGTGGGAAAAACTTTGCCTCGAAAAAACATTTCAGATTTTGCAACATGGAGGATGAGTGCAAAATCACACCAGAAAAGACAAACAAAGATGGGAAGGTCTTTAAATGCTTTGAATGCAACAAGGAGTTTAATCGAAAGGACAAGCTTGTTCTGCATACAAGAGTTCACACCGGTGAAAAACCCTTCAGTTGTGATTTCTGTGGCAAAACATTCACTCAGAACTCAAGTCGTATCGTTCACATGAGGGTGCATACTGGAGAGAAACCATATTTTTGTGCTAAATGTGGCAAAAGTTTTGCCCAAAGCAGTCATCTCAAACTCTGCCAAGTTCAGAATGAGTGCAAAATCACACCAGAAAAGGGAAACACAGATGAGAATGACAAAGAGGAGAAAGCCTTTAAATGTTCTGAATGCAACAAGGAGTTTAATCGAAAGCAGCTGCTCGTTATGCACGCGAGAGTTCACACCGGGGAAAAACCCTTCAGTTGTGATTACTGTGGCAAAACATTCACTCAGAACTCGCATCGTATCGTTCACATGAGACAGCATACTGGAGAGAAACCATATTTTTGTGAGAAGTGTGGCAAGAGTTTTGCCAGTGTCCATCATCTTAAATCGTGCACAGTGACACAAAACAAAAGCACAAACAACTCCTTACGCTGCACAACATGTGGCAGAATCTTCCGCACAGATTCAGACCTGAAGGTGCATATGGCGGTTCACGAGTCGTGGAAACGACACATCAGAGAGAAACTGCCGAGACAGGAGTTGAAGGAGAAAAAACTTAAAGTGGAATGAAAGATCATCAAAGTCTATGTGACACCAGATATTTAAATAAACAAATGAGCAACCAGTATATAGGAATGACCTGTTTCACCTACAGTCTCACAAGAGCAAATGTCTTGTTTCTTCCTCCCCAGGCCTCTTCCATTTTTAAGGATTTCCCCTTGTCTTGGGTTGGCCCATTGAAACATTATATGTGTTATTGGGTTAAAAGAAATAACTACATCTTCTGACTGTGCAAGTAATAAAGTTGGAAAGAAACCAAATATTCCCATTGTTCTCATTTGGTGTCTATTGTTCTGAGGATTTGCAATTTCACAATTTGTTAATAAAACAATAACAAGATATGGTAAATGTACAAGTGTCTTTTTACTTTGTACAAGAAGTAGTGAAAATATAGCAGCAGGGGGCGCTAGTGAAGTGTTATCCTGTGTGTTATGAAGTTGAACTGGAAACAGATTAACTCAGGTTGTCGTCACTTTGTCAGTTGATATCTGTGAACTTTGAGGCTTTCAGTTCCCGAGGAGTTTATTTCTTCATTGATAGTCCGTGTGCCATCCTCCCCGTTAACCGGCAGCGTTAACCGGAGCTCCATCATGGCGGGGATGCAGCTGCTCACACTGATGGTCAGTGAGCGACTGGCAGTAGCTGCAGAGGAAATCTTTGGACTGGAAGAAGTTGTCCGCTCCCACAGAACAGCTGACTGTTTCAAACCCTGGAGTGATTTTATTCAGAGCAGATCTGCTTCATAATGGAAGTAGCCTCTAGCCGGTGTGCTACATACACACAGAAACGACAGTAAATGTCACATGGTACGTTACGTTACAAACCTTTAAACATATGAAACATGCTTTGACTGTTCCCCACTGACATAAACAAAGCACAGAAACGCCCTTTCTGCAGCTTTACTGCAACTGTTAGTTAAAGTTAACATTTCTGTTACCGGCTTCCTGTCTCGAGAAACGATCACCTGTCGTTGGGACTACTTTTTCTGTGCGCGCAAGTAGACGCTGATGACGTTACACGGAAGTAGGGTTCATCGGTGGCGATTGTTTTGGTAAACTTCATCCTCAAGAAAGGACAACGGTTTAAGTAATGTTAGTAAGCTATAGGGCTAACGTTAGCATAACTTACATAGTATTAAGATGAGGCAGTTTGGTGTACTATGCCTCACGCCTGCGCAGTGAAGACATGCACAAATAAAGCAAAGACTGGCGCTGCTTTGTCTTTCCACCGCCTTCCAGTAAGGGAACCGGAGCGGCTGAAACTATGGCTGTTCGCCTTGAACATCGATGTAAATACTCCACAGGACGAGCTAAAGAAATATATTGTATGCTCGGAGCATTTTGCTCAGGAGGACTACACAGTTAACGTTAACGGACAGCCGAGGACCGATACGATGCACCGGTTTCTGACGCCAACGGCTGTCCCGACCGTTGGCGTGTCCTCCTGCACGCTACAAACCAGTGCAGCGGAGGTGAGTGTTGTTATCGATCAGACTCTGTCCCGATCAGCTGGTGTTTATGGTTTATGTTGTAAGGAACTTTGTAAAGATATATCTGTGAACTAATGTATACGTTACAAAACACCAGTAGCAAAAAGTAGGTTTACGTTTATTCAAGCGCAGTGCTTAGGTTTACTTTAATTATTTGGTATTTGTACTTTACTACAGTCTCTGGGTTAATTGGGATAGTTTTCTCACTATTTTAAAACATTTTACAAACCCATAAAATCAATCGATTAATAGAGAAAATAATCAGATGACTCTGCAATGGAAATGGTCATTAAAGTCCTATATAAAATGGTTAAAAATGACCTCCACCCAAACTACAACAGTACAATCCTGCTTTTACATGAATGCATGAGTAATAATAATATAATATAAAAGTATAACTGTCACAGGGGACATTCTTCTCCATTAAGTAGTACTTTTACTTTTAATACTTAAAGTACCTTCTCTTGATTATACTTGCATGCTTTTTTTGTTTTACTCAAGCAACATTTGTCTTGCAGGATTCAGAAAATAACAGGCTCAAGGATGTGTCATTGGATTCTCATTCATCTGACGGTAAGACATGAAGAGTAGGGACTGAAGCCCAGAGGGATGGAGAAAGTTTCAATGCATTGTTATAAAGGTCCAGTGAGTAACATTTCACAGGATCTTTTTGTTAAAAAGTCAGTTTTCAGTGTGTGTGTTGGAGGTTTCACTCGTGCAAGTTGACAGCAGATGTCCTCTCTGTCCTTTAGACACCCAGCCGGTCTCTGAGGAACTGCGCCCTTCATTGCAGCCATGTGACATAAAGGTGGAACAGAGTCCCGTTCGGGAGGAAACAGAGATCCAAGAGCATCCACGGGTCAAAGAGGAGCAGGTGGATCAGTGCATCAGTCCCGACATGGAGGCTGATACTTCCAACAATGCTGAACTCAAACGTCCAAAATCAGAACCAACCACTGACTGTGATGTAAACGAAAGCAGAAATGACAAAGGGAGTGAAAGTGATGGTTCATCGTCGCCTCGTCCAAGTCATAGCATTGAAGTCTTTGTGGAACTGGAACAACCTCCGAGAGAAGAAAAGTCTTGCCGTTTTTGTGGTAAAAGATTTAAGAGGGACTCTCATCTTATAAGGCACGTAGAAAAGAGTCACAAAAAGCAGAAAGCCTTTAAATGCCTGAAGTGCAACAAGGAGTTTGAACAAAGGTACCAGCTCGTTCAGCATATAAGAATTCACACAGGAGAAAGGCCTTTCAGTTGTGATTTCTGTGACAAAACATTTGTTCAGAACTCGAGCCGTCTTGCTCACATGAGGGTGCATACTGGAGAAAGACCATATTTTTGTGCTAAATGCGGGAAAGGCTTTGCCACAAGCAACCATTTCAAACTTTGCAAAGTTCAGAATGAGTGCAAAATCACACCAGAGAAAGTGAACACGGATGAGAATCACAAAGAGGAGAAAGCCTTTAAATGCTTTCAATGCAACAAGGAGTTTAATCAAAAGCACCAGCTAGTATTGCATGCAAGAGTTCACACCGGTGAAAAACCCTTCAGTTGTGATTTCTGTGGCAAAACATTCACTCAGAACTCTAATCGAATTGTTCACATGAGAGTGCATACTGGAGAGAAACCATATTTTTGTAAGAAGTGTGGCAAGAGGTTTGCCAGTAGCCATCATCTTAAATTGTGCACAGGGACACAAAACAAAAGCACAAACAAGTCATTTCGCTGTACAACATGTGGCAGAACATTTTACACAGATTCAGACCTGAAGGTGCATATGAAGGTTCATGAGTCGTGGAAACGACACATCAGTGAGAAACTGCAAGGGCGGGAGATAGAAGAGAAAAAGCTTAAAGTGGTATGACAGGACATCAGATATTTTCTTCTAAAATTATAAGAATAAAACATGCATCCAGTAATTAGGAATGGCCTTATATTTGTAAATTTGCTGCAATATAGCTGAATAAGAAACTATCAGTTTATGTGGATTCAATTTTAAAAATTGTGTTTCATCAGTTATGATTTGACTACTGATTCCTTTAATGTAAAGTCCTCTGAATTGCCTCGCTGTGGAAATGTACTATACAAATAAACTTGCCTTGACATACTACATCTGGTTTACCAAACTCTGAGCCTAACTCTGAACTCTAACCTCACAAAGTGTGGGAAAGTGTCAATAAGTTTTATTTAGTTTTTTCTATTAATCAATCACCAGACTTAAATTTAATTCATGGATGATTAATAGGGGAATCTAACTTTGTATGTAGGCTGTAACCCTACAATACATTTCCAAGATTTGTTCAGCCTTGATCTGAAGGAGACAAACGCAAGGGCTCAGCAACTAAAGGTGAAAATATATAGATGATTTTAAAAATGTAGGTCAACTTGTAATCTCACAGTCTGATCCAGTAATAACGTGTTTGGTGATTTACACTTGTTGTTAGAATATTAACTTTAGATGTACAATTCGACATCTACTGTATTTGGATCTTGGCTCAACAGCATTCAGTGGTATCAGTTGTCATGGTAACTGAAAACCTAGAATTAGCCTCATCTCAGGATTAAAACTCAGTTTTCACTAATCCCACTTTCTGCAACAGGGCTGTGGGGCCATCAAGATGTCCCAAATTACCTCATTGCAGTAACATATAAACAAATGAAAAGTATTTTTCCTCACAGAAAAGTAAAATAATTATTGTTGCCATCTGAGGAGGAAGCATCTCTCCAGAGTTTCTCTCCCCTCTTCCATTTTTTCCCTGTTGCCCGAAGAATTGTTCCTTGTCCTCACAGAGCTTGGGCTGGCCCATTGAAACATTGTTTGTGTTTTAGGTTAAATAAATAACTACATACATACAGTACAAATAATAAACTGGGGGGGAAAAAACAAGCAGTGAGTATGTTCTCCTTCAGTGTATAAAACCTGTTCTTTGTTAATAAAACAACAGTAAGATATTGTGAAGAAGGAAAATAAAACAATGTTTTTTCATAAAGTCTGTGTTTAGAAAGTAAAGGACATTTTTTTCCCAGGTTGGTGAAGCTCTGAATGGCTTATCCTGGCATTCTTACCCTAACCCCAGAGCTCTGCCTAACCTAACCCTAACCAATCTCTGTCCTCTTGGCAGTCAAGGGGGAAAGTGAGCCCTCCACGGCGGCAGGGGGCGCTGGTGAAAATAAAACTGTGTTATGAAGTTGAACTGGACGCATTAACTCACATTGTCTTACCTTTGTCAGTTGATATCTGTGAACTTTGAGGCTTTCAGTTCCCGAGGAGTTTATTTCTTCATTGATAGTCCGTGTGCCATCCTCCCCGTTAACCGGTAGCGTTAACCGGAGCTCCATCATGGCGGGGATGCAGCTGCTCAGACTGATGGTCAACGAGCGACTGGCAGTAGCTGCAGAGGAAATCTTTGGCCTTTTTGAAAAGACGATAGCAGAATATCAGGAGGAAGTTGTCCGCTCCCAGAGAGAAATCATTCAGCTAAAAGGGCAACTCGAGCAGCTGACCGTTTTAAAACCTGAAGTAACTTTATTCAGAGCAGGTTTGTGTCATCATGGACGTAAGTTAGCCTCCAGCCGGTGTGCCAGGTAGCCGTACAGCGTTACTAGGCAACAGATTGACTTCAGGCCCCGTCTGTTAGCTGTATTAGCCAACACAGGAGCTACAGTTGCTAGGTGGCGGTGGTGGTAATAACAAGATGGTGATAGATAGATCCCACAAAGATATTTTGAACTCATAAAATATGTGGAAGAAATCACGGAACTTCATGAACACAAATTAAACTATAATGGCTGTTAAACGTTGATTTTTTTTCCCCACCTTTGGAAAACATCTGGGACACATCTTACTTGTGCTGGTGCAGATATATTTGTGTTAGACGTTGCTGGGTTATTTAACAGCTTATAGCATGTGTCTTCTCTGTCTTTTAGACACCCAGTCAGTGACGGAGAAGATTTTGCCCTCCCTGCAGGCAGACCAGCTTCCCATTGTGGAGAAATATGACACCCAAGACTATCATCAGGTCAAAGAGGAGCAGGTGGATATCTGTATTCCTCCACATCTGAAGGATCACTCTTCTGCGGATGTAAAAATCAGACTTACTGAATCACAAACAACTTTCAGCAGTATAACCGTGACATTGAACAGTGATGATGAAGGGAATGGGGACGGCAGCTCCTCCTCTTGTGGTCCAAGTCACAGTGACAGTGCTTTTACAGGACAGAAACAAGCCAAGAAAAGTAGAAAGGCTTGTCGTGTCTGTGGCAAGCAGTTTAGCAGTGACTCTGATCTGCGTAGACACATGGATGAGATTCACATTGGAGAGAAGGCCTTTAAATGCTCCGAGTGTGATAAGGAGTTTGCTCGTAGGGACCATCTGGTCGTGCATTTAAGAATTCACACAGGTGAAAAACCACACAAGTGTCCTTTCTGTTGGAAATCATTTTCTCAAATCTCCAATCTCAATGTTCACTTGAGGAAGCACACAGGGGAGAAGCCCTATTATTGCAAGTCGTGTGGCAAAATGGTCGCCCATAGCTATCACCTCAAAACTTGTGGTATGACGGAGCACAAAGGGGAGAAGTAATTTTGCTGTTTGGTTTGTGGGAAAAAATCCCACACAGCTTCAAATCTGCAGGTCCATACCAATATCCATGAAGCCAGGAGATCCTGTAGAATTGTGTAGCCTTTCGCCTGCTCATCAGACTGAATTGACATTTGTTGCACTTCACTTAATTTATTATCTGTTATTCATTATTTGAATTTCAGAACAAATAAAAAATGTAGGTGCTGATACGGGTTAGCTCACTGATAAACAACATGGGGGGGGGGGGAATCAAAACAATTACAATTGAAAATGTCTTCTGTTTCAGACTACAAACAAAAGAGTACAGTGATTAGAATCTGGGGTGCAACACACTTTGGTTTGGTGTTTTAAAGGAACATGTACCTCTTTTAACTCTTGTTTCTGCTCATGGTCACCTCACACTTTTTATTGTTAATGAAATAAAATATTTTTAATGTATTTTTAATGTAAGTATTTTCTAATGATGAAGAGCTTTGTGGACTTTTAAGTAGTATGTCACGATGAAAAAGTATGGATCCAATATCCCCTTTTAGCAGAAACACCTTAATTGTGGTAAATTTATTTAGCATCCTTGCCAGTAACAATTGTTTTGCTCTGCACCAAACAGGACACATATCAGGCGAGGGAGGAGCCCATCATATTCCACTACCATAGCAGACAACAAGCAGCCACATTGATTACTTATCTACACTGTTACCCTAAAATGAACCATAGAGTTGCCTATCACTGGGATTGACAGCACAGAGACTACAACACACTGAATCTAAATTCCTAAATGCCCCATTACATGAACTTGTCAGACTAAAAGCCTACTACTGCTACTAACATATTAGTTCTTCTACTACTTATAACTATGAACAAATCATAAGTAACGGTACAGAAGCAGAATAAACATTTTGAGGTTTAAACATCTGCCCAGGAGGTGGTGCACTTTCCATCCACTGTGAACAACAGCGAAGATCGTCTATTTTAAGAGCTATCACTTTCTAGTCTGCAACATGGACCCCGGGTATTTACACAAGTCTTCGCGATGGTTTACGGTAATTACAGGACATCGAAACTTGTACAGAGTGAGAGGTCTTCGCTTTGTACATGTCCCATTGAGGGAGAGCGATGACAGAGGATGGGAGCAAAGCTGCGGCACTGATAGAGGAGAAGTGACGAGAAGGCAAAGTGAATGAGTGTTGGTAAATAAAAAACCTGCCACTTTGTTTTTCTAGCTAGCTGCTAGCTCCAGTTAAATAGCATGTCAACGCTTGGTTGCCACTGACGGTTAGCTAGCGTTAAGCTAGGCACTAGGTGCAGTAGCTAGCTGGCGGTAATGTAAGCTAATCAGTCGGTGTGTTGTAACAAGAGCGGAGTGCGAGTGTATTTTAAAACGAACAGTGAATTATGCATAAATAGCTAGTTTTATTTCATAAATAGCCACCTCTTTTGCGAGTGTTTACATTTTATGAACAGTTAATGTTTACATGGCTTCACATTTAAATGTCCATGTCGTGGAATGACACCTGTCTGTCCAGAGACTGGAGAAAATGGCAGGATGTCAGTGGATGCGACTGTTCATGAAGGCAAATAATGATGCTATTATCTGTTGTGTTAAAATAACTATCAGTCATGATGATCTCAGTCAGCATGTTAAGTTTCTTTTTGACACAAGGGAGCAGTTGTTATGTGTGAATGTTGGAGGTTTAATACAGGCACTAATCCATGATCCTGAAGCTGCTGCTGTAGGCTTTGGACCGCTCTTCTAAGTAGCACAAAGCTCCGGATAATGTTTCCTGTATCAGGTAACTAACTGCGGACAATGTCCAGGCCACTTTTTCCACACTAGGATCAGGTACCAGAAGGGGAGTCATAGAGCTGGTAATATCTCAACTAGATGTTAATATTTGAAAAAAAATGATGTTTAAGAGACACATAAAGAGGATATGTGAGCAGATGAGATTGAGCAATACATTGATAAAGTTCAGATTGTTTCTGCTTTGCGGAACAATGATGTGTGCAGGTTCCTCTTTTTTAATACACTCAGCTGAATGTCTAAACCAGTAGTGCCTCCCCTATAAACCAGGAGATTACCAGTTTAACTAACTTATCCTTACATGCTGGCTTTCTGAGGGAGTTGAAACTTTGGCATACATTAAACTGATACCTATATATTCCAGTATTGTCTCTGATGTATGGGGTTTAACACTTTGATATATGATCATTAAGTTTGTATACAACCATCAAAACCAAGATTACAAAGTGCTTCACATAATTAGAGAGCAAAACAGGATATCATCAAATTAAATTAAAACACAGAGCGTGTAAAACAAAACCGGAAATAATAATAGTAGAATAATAATCGTACTTTGGTAACCAAGTACTTGTGCTCTCCAATTCAAGCTATTTTGGCCATCAGTCTTTTACGTACGTACTTATACACACAGCCAGATTAGCAATTAGTTGCCTTAAAAGTAATTAGGAAACCAAAAACAATTAGCCAGCTGCTGTAAGGATGCTACAAAAAGCTAATTCTCCTAACGGTCTATATCAAAAGGAAAAATTCTTTTTAAAAAATGTCTCCTTTTTCCAAAAATCTATTGTTCATGTTGATCCTCTTGCTGTTCTTTTCACCGTCTTCTCCCAGGTGCATGAGGCCTTCAGGTCCTGCTAATATAACCCATGGAGCCAGACATCATGCCCTTGCATGCCTCCTCCCCCCCTCCACTGGATGATGATGGAGATGGGGAGGCGGGATCAGAGGAGGACGAGTTTGGGGACTTTGGGGGATTCTCTCTCGGGGTGTCTTGCTCGCCTCCTGGCTTTGCTGATTCTACTGATTCATCATCCAGCCTGGGACAGCCTTCTTCCAACATAAAGCCAGCCGCCCATCCATTCAACTGCAGCTTTAATAACCCAATTAAACAATCCCAACCCCCATCCACTGTGAACTCGGAGTCTGGCAGGGGCCAAAAAGATGTTGGAGGACAGGATTATAACACTGAATCACGTGTGCACCTCACAAATGGCTATTCTGAAAGAGACCACCACTCTGGGACCCACATAGCCTCTGCAGTGGGTGCGTGCTCTCCTAGGGAAGAGACAGGGTTTGCTGATTTCACTGTGTTTACAGAGCAGGCAGCACATCCCTGGTGCTGTGGCTTCACTCCCTTGGGCAGCACAGAGCAATGGGATGGCACAGCGGTAGGAAAAAACTCTTCCAACAGACTGGGTGAACAAATTTGTGACCCAGGACAGGAGGTTATTATGGACTCTGAGCCCAGACCTCATTCTGCAGACAAGGCGAAAGAAAAAGTTTGCACTATGGTCAAGCACTGTGAGAAAAGAGATGCAGCACTTGTGCTACCATCTCAGGACCACCATCAGCCTCAGGAAGCTGCAGCAGCTTTGGATTTTCCATCTGAGGAGCCTCATTCTGGGGAGGAAGAGTCAGGCAAGCCCGGGGACAGCCAGAGGGGACGGACGCATAGTTTTAACTCTTTACAATCCATGGAGGTGCAGGAGGATGGGAAGGCAGAAGAAGGCATAGATGATCAAGAAAAGAGCATTTCTATTAACCCCCAGTCATTCAGTATGTATGAGTCTGCTTCAGAGGACCTGGCATCCTTCTGTGAGGATTTGTCATTTGAGGGTCCCTCTTTGGATTTGGAACCAAACGTTTCATCTCTTGCTTCGGGGGATCAGACTGACTGGGACCAGACTGATGACGAAGAAGAAGAGGTGGGAAACTACAGTAATTCTGACTCTTTTGTCAACAACAGCGTGGAAAATCTCCCACAGTCTAAGGCAGAGAAGGGTTTTCATTATTGCGACCAATCTGCGACTCAGGAAACTTCTGCTACCTCCAACCAATCACAATCAGGAACACATACAGAAGACAATTTTGCAGACTTCAAAGACTGTAGTTTTGAGCATCAAAGGGACCAAGGACATGTCCAAACAGCTGATGAAGGAGTGCAGAGTCTAGGAAACCTCCCACCGAGTGACAGCTTTGCAGATTTCTGCTCAGCGCCCATGCAGGAGGATGGAGATGGGTCGTGGGCGGAGTTTAAGGTCCAGAGGGCTCAGGAGGAGGGAGGAACTTGGACACAGTTCAGAGAGCAAGTCAGCAGCCTGCAGACTGATGGGAGCACTCAGGAGGAGACGGACAGGCCAGGGCAGGATGGGGTTTCCAGGAGGAACAGCTGTCAGGTGGGAGACATTACACTAAAAAACTTTGTTGTGGTTGCTTTTTATGACGATAATTAGCCACAGAGAATATTTAATCCTTACTGGCAAGAAGTTGCTTTCAGAAAATCTATTTTTCAGGGCTTTTTAATGGAAGTGCTTCACAGGCAATAACATGACTACAGTAACATACATATTTTCAACATTTCATTTAAAAAGACTAACCCTCTCCCTTTGTCTTTACATGTCATTATTTTGTTTGCAAGTTTTCAAAGTGCCTCAAAGGCAATAAAATACAACAGTCAAAGCTCTAAAGTCTGTCAAAATGTCTTCACATATTTTTTATATTTTGATTTCAAACAACTAACCCTCTTCTTGTTTTCTTGGCTAGGCGTCACTTTCTTGCCGTGTCCAGCAGCTACTCCTGGCCAGTTTTCCAGAGGGAGAGGTCCCAGCTGCGGAGGGTGAGGAGGAGGTGCTCAGCCTCGGTGCTCTGCTTCACGCCCGACACCTCACTGAGAGTGAGGAGGAGGAGGAGGAGGAGATACCAGAACTCTGTCCCGGATCTCAGTGGTGAGGATGACTTCCTGGCAGTGGCGGTGATGATGATGATGATGATGATGATGATGGTGGTGGATAAGTTGACAAACAATAGTTTGTTTAAAGTTTCAAATTATTACAACACAAATAGTGATCTAAGCACATCAAATCTTTGACATTTGATGGTGGTAAATTCCTGATCTCTGGAAGGGCATTCCTGGGAATAAAATAGCCAGCACAATACGGAATGATGCCTTTCGATGAGGAAGCAACAGAAGTAGGATTTGAATTAACAGAAGGAAAACCGGGTAGTAAATATTTGACTCCACCACTGACTCTTAGGGGAAAAAGACAGACTAAAATAAAAAATTCATCAACAGAAATTCCAAGCAAAAAGTAGTAATAGTACTGAGGATCTCTGGGAATTTAAAAAACAGCAGCAGCGCAGTAGTAGAAAAACACATATTGAAATGATCCACAAAACATTTTTTATGCATTTTTCAGCACAGCAAACACAGCAAACACAGCCAATAAATATTTTTTAATAAAGCAGCTATCTTGTTCAGATCATATGACCAGATCAGAACAGTTCTGAGCATGGTCTGCTCAGTATAATTGTTATCAGTAATAACACTCTCATTAATGGCCGGGAGAAATCTACATTTACAAATGAGGTGATGTGAAAATAGTTTGGTTGTTTCTAAACTAGAAGTTTTCCCTGTCTCTTTTTTCTAATATTGTCTCTTGAATACTTCCAAATGCTGCCTTGTAATTTCCTCACCATTTCCCAGGATTCAACAGGGGATTTGGTGGCCACCTCAGGACCTCCACAGTGCAGTTGGCCTCAAGTTTCAGTGGGGAGGTTCTCATACAAACAGGACTCTGCTCAGGTGCCTTGGCGTGGACACAAGGAATATTGTGAGTTTGTCAAAACATAAAAACTACTGTTTATCAGTTTAATACCAGTAATTGAGTAAACAATAATAATACTACAACATAAACTCTTAAAGAGTGAGTCTAAAGCCAGATCAGTGTCCTCGATTGGCAGCATATTCTGAATTAAAACAGGACAAACACTTTGTAGAATTGCAGAATTACAAGCTGTTACAGTTACTGTTATTGAGCACATTAGACTGTTGCACCAATTGTTGTTTGAGACAGAAATTTATCTATCTAGCCTATTATTTTAAGGCTGTTTTCATTTAGTGTGTCTTTGCCTTTTTGAAGGTTTTCATTGGCATGAAGAAGCAGCCAGTGGCTGTACCTGCTTTTGCATCCAACCTGGTGAGTCACCTGTAGAACTAAATGAATTTGGTCTTACTGGGGAGAAGAAGCATTGTAATGGTGTAGGATGAGCAGTTCCATTGGTCATACAATTTATTCTTGGCAGTTCCAAACCTAATTTTTTAAATTTCCTTCCCATTCTTCCACTTCACTCACCAGGGAATGCTAGAGCCCACCAAAGACTCTGTGTCTGCTGTCTGTTCTCCGGGACACACAACGGTCACAGCACAAGCTCCTCCAGTACCCAGGGACACAACGGACCCCTCAACAGATTCAATGCAGGTAAATTGGTCTTTTTGATTTGACTTATTACACCTGTATTAGATTCAAGAACAAGAGATTAGAGAAGGGTTCATGCAACTACTATGTAGGAAACGGCCACCACTGGATATGGCTAAAGACATGACCATTAAAAGACCAGTTTGTAGGATTTAGTGTCATCTGGGGAAATTGCAGAGTCCAGCTTACTGAATATCACTCACCTTCTAAGCATGTAGGAGAAACTAATGAAAACATAACGACTTCTATATTCAGGTGATTATGCACTGATGCAAACATCTCTATGAATATTATGTCCCATTTCTGCCAGTAGATCCTTCGAAATGTTACCCACTGGACCTTAAAGGTTACTTTACTGTTGTATTCTGCTATTCTGTTAAGTGGGAGTTAAATGCTGTTTACTTCTCTCTGTGTAGGAGGCGCTCCCCTCCAGCCAGCTGGACTGGAGCCGCCACGGCCTTAGCAGCTCTCAGGACGGTACGTCCCCTCGCCGAGCCCCTCACTTCTGGGGCCGGAAGTAGACTACAGTATCAGCCATCCCCTACCTGGCTTCTTCTAATAAACCAAAACTTTTGAGTGTTTACTCTGGGCGTACTCCTCTGGACTCCTCCTCACTTCCTCCAGGGCATGTTCTGCTTCTTTTAATTTACACTGTGTTTCCCCTCTATTCATGCAGCAGTAGTGGGTGACCACAACATTTCATCATTTAAATGAATTTCCGCTCATGATGAACACAGAATAGAAATCATGTTGTTGTCATTATGATTTGTCCAAACAAGAAAACTTTTGGAGATATAACTTCACACAGACCCAAAACTGGGACTCAAACAGAAACATTAGTCACAATTATTCCAGAACAATAAAAGGGGAAACACTGTACTGGCTTCCCTTTTCTTCCCTCTCAGCTACTCTAGTGTCTACTTTTACCTGCTGCCAGCTTTTACAAAGAATGTATCTTCAGTATTTATCAGTCCCTTTTGTTATTGGGAAACACTGTAGTGTCCATCTTGAAGGGGGTATCACTCGATATGGGTAAAGGCTACTGAAAACAAGATGTGCATACTGTTATTTTTCAACATGATGATTCTGATAACAAATCTGAGGGCAATGCTAAAGTAATATCACATTTGAAAAGCATTCAATACGAAACTAAATAACTATCAACTCATGGAGCATGGTCATAACATGTGCCTTGTTGATGTAATGGATGTGTTTACTTAAAGCATTTTAATTTAATTTATTGGTGGCCACTGTGGAGGTTAAACTCTTCCAGTGTTAATACTCTCTACTGTGTGCCATTTGCTCAGTGCATGGCTGTATTACACACTTAGACTTAAACTATGAATCTAACAGCATCATCCAGTTTTTGGCTTTATTTCACACTGAGGTCTCTTTATATTTAGATGGAAACTATTTATTTCTTCATATTTGCACGTAAAGGATTTCTTTGCATTTAATAAAGAAAACAAAGGCAAAAATATTCTAATTTGATTTAATCAGAGTCAGTAGGGTTTAGATCAGTATTTGACCAGAAAAGATTTATCATAAAACTTGAATTTCAAAAAGGATTGTTACAATTATGTAGGAAATCACTGTACATGGAGTGTGTTATATATAATTCATGGAGATAATAAAGCTTTATATATGGATTTGTTAGTCAATGAGAGATGGTTGAGTCTAACTAGATCCAATACAACACACACACAAGAAAGACCAGAAAATATGCAAATCCATAAATAAGATTGTGTTTGTTTGGCTTGTAAGTGGAGAAGTTAATGATCAGACTTTGCATTTCAGGACAGTGATAGACAAAAAACTTTGCAGTACATTTTGCGGCTGCGTGTGAGTCGCAAGAAATTTTTTAAGGAATAAAAACTTTGCAAACTACCTACTATACCGTAGGAACTGTTTGTTTGACTGTTAGTGCCATATTTGATATTGCACTCTTGAATTGTCAGCATGCTGACATGTCTCTGGTTTGTGGCATTGCAAGCTGGAAGGAGTTGAGCAGCTGATAAACTACATTAAGAGTCATAAACTCTACCAGTAATTTCCTATAAGACACCTAGATGAATTGAGTCCACAGGTAAAGACAACATTTAGATTCAAGAGAAGCCCCCTTCCTCCAGTGTTAATAAACCTTATGTTCTGTGTTTGACAAGATTGTTTTTGTTTAGTTTTGAATTTTACTCATTTTCAGTGATTAGATGTCATCAAGTAATTAATAACAAGCATGACAGCGGAGTAGTGTTGTAATAGTAAAGTACGCACAGCAGAGGGCAGTGTATTCTCTGTGGGTGGCGCAGCAAAAGGGTCAAAACACATTTGGTGTATTTACTGTATTTACAAATTGACAAAAGAATTTCATTAATTTAAAATCAAACCATGCAATCACTCATACTAAAAGACTAAAGATATGCACTTAATGTATATAAAAATACTATTATATTTATTATTTTTTCATGTGGTTGGTTATATGAAATCTGAGGTTTTGATATGATTAGATCATAAACATGTTGGGGGGTTATTGTCTTAATAGAAAGAAATTATGTATCTTAGACATGATTTCACAATTAAAACATGAGAAAAATGAAAACAGAGCCAAACGTAAGACTGCAGTAGTGATTACTGCTGTCACCTTATGCTGCTTTTACTGTTTACTCCCTGTGCACTGATTCATATACTGTATGAGCATGCTGAATAGGATAGAGGAGTGTTTATTTCCAAAGTTTGAGAAAGAAAAGTCCAGTTGTCAGTATTTAATTGCCAATCAAACAACTTTCTGTAACTGCAGTTACAGTATTTCATGATGAGTTGTGCCTTTATGCCAGCAGTTGTTTTCTAAAACGTTTTCAAATGGTGAAATTCTCTTTGGACCTATAGTCTGTTGTTGTTTTTTCTTCAGGTTTACTGCTCAAATCCAGACTCAGTGCACTGCAATAAGGACTTAAATAAATAAGTTGATAAATCAGTCGATCCTTTCTGCTCGGTTTTGCCTGTCTTTCCCCAGCTTTCTTCTCTTGTTGGGAGCTGCATCACTTTTCTCTGCTGAATGCAAAGTGTTCAAACACCTTGTTGTAAAGGATATAAACTGTTTAGATATCCTAGACAATGCTGAGTCTGAAGGTGGTGTAATTGAAGCCTAGTCTAGTTTAGGACAGCAAACATTTCTGATGACAGGTGACTAAATAATTGTTAAATGTTAAGCAACATCTCAAACAATTAAAAGGTTCTTATTAAACTTTCATAACAACTAAATCAAACACATGTCTGACTTTATAATGTCTGGTTTCATATTTTTTTGCATATAATCAAAGTGAAAGTCATACTTTTATCTATCCAGCTACAACAACATACTGAGGCTGTGTGGACCACCTGTCCCATGAGTCATGTTATTTCCACATGAATGTTGTTCCAGTGACCTCACGCTAGGTGCTGGCTTGAATATTTCATGGTTAAGGGGCCTCTGAATCTGAATCTAAAAAGAAGTTGGATAACAACAGCTTTGCATTGCTTTGATGAGCTTTGTTTGCTGTGTCTGTCACTCGCTCTGTCTTCCCTGCTGCTACAGTAAAAGGAGAAAACATCAATCAAAAGCAGATGCTCCTTCTCCTTTTATGAATTAAAAATAAATCAAGCTCCCCCATCCCTCCTTACCCCCCAACAATGCTCCTCAGCAACTGTCTCCCCTTGTTAGCACAGGCTGCTCTGCTCTCAACCTGGATTATTTTGGTCCTGAGGAGGAGAGCAGATCCTGCAGCAGCAGCTGTAGCAACAGTCCTCCTCCAGGTCAGCATGTGAAACTGCAAAAATGTACATTTTATTGTCATTCATGAGGTTTATGTTATAAGAGACAGACACAATGATAATACCAAGGCAATATATATATTTACACTGGTAAATTTAGCTTGTGCTGTGGGTGTGTAAGTCCTTATGACGCTCACCGACTGCTTTTTCCCTTTTATAACATGTTTGGTGTGTGTTCTTTATTATACACACTCCCATGTAAAGGAGTTGACCGTGAGCTGTATGAGTTGACCATCAGCAAAGTGGAAATCGATGCAAACAGTAGCCACATGGAGGACACTTTGAATCGCCTGATGTCCACTGCAGAGAAAACCAGCACGACAGTCAGGTCAGCCCAGTTGTTACATCCATGTTTCATGTTTATTTTATTGTCCTTTTAAAGTATTAATACAATGAAACAAAAACAAAAATCTGAATCACACACAAGCTTTACCTACTGTATGAATAATGCATCATCTTGTCTTCTTTGTGTGTCTCTTTAACAACTCACTGTGTGTGTGCGTGTGTGTGTGTTCATCAGGAAACCTCAGCAGGATGAAGAACTGAGTGTGGAGGCTGTCAGGGTGATCTCTGGACTGCCTAACCTGTCTTTCATGCAGGCCAAGGTCCTCATGTTCCCAAGCATCCTCGCACCCAAATAATGCTGTTCCCCAAACTTACAGTGATGTGTGTGATTTCTGCACACATTCACAGTGAATACTTAATCTGCCACCTCTTGTAGTTAATACAGGATGCAATAAGGAGACCAAAACAGTGAGTTGATCTTCCTGCTTTGGTCAAAATGCTCCACCTGCTGGCTATCTTCAGTCTTTAGCCTTAAAGATGTGGCTCAGTAGAGAGGCAGAATGAACTCATGTGTATCAACTTATTCATTCATTTCCATGTAAAGTGCAAAGACGCAGTTTTAATGTTTGTTTTACACTAAGCATTACTCTTCTCAAAGTCGAGTGGTTTATTTTGGTCTGAATGGACCTAACACACACACACACACACACACACACACACACACACATATTCACCATAGAGACTCTTACAGCAAACTCGCCCACTTTAATTCTGCTTTATTATGTATCAGTGGTGTAGGAGATGAAAGAATGTATTTACTGGATGGTTTGACCCGGAGTAAGTAAAGTGGCCTTCATGAAGGTGTGTGAAGAAACTGTATTTATTTTCACAACCTACAGTATGTCAGTCATTTCAGTTGATTTGGAGGTAAATAAAACAACACAAACTGCCTCAGGGTGTCTCTTACATGTATTGTTATTTATGTCAGTCAGGATCTTTCATCCCTACAACTCAATGATACCAGCAACACCTTCACACACCCTCACACACACTTATTCATTTACACATCAATTACTGTACACAGAAAATCAATCTTTCACTTGTAGTGTCCTGTTGAATTATTTTTAGTCTGCATGTTGCATCTACTAACAGTGTTCCCTCATGGATTAGAAATATTTCTCATCCTGCATATTGACATAGAAACGCTTTGTATGATGATCTCTCTAACACTTACTGGTGCTGGAGATATTTTAGGGCTTTCTCCAGTGTTCTACCAGCTTTATTAGGTTATTTATCCATTAACTGCTTTATAATGCTGTGACTGTTCTAGAAAATATAAATGGATATTTTTAGCCAGATGAGAAGCTTGTTGTTCTTTTTACATGTTGCACACCAACAACTATGAATTGGGCTACACTGCATACAGGGGCGGATTAGGATTTTGTTCAGAGCAATGCAATAAATCAGTGAATTTGTTGGTTGCGACTGTAAACTCAAGCACTTGACGTAAGGACTTTAAAACATGTCTCTTGGTCGGAGAGACTGTCATTTGCGCGGCTCACACCGGATGAGCACCCTTCCCTTCCTCCTTTCGGCCGGGTTGGCGTGTCTTCCTTCCGGCTTGCCGAAGAAAGTTGAGGGAGGTTCAGCGGCAACTGGGCTTTTACATAATGGACAGCCAGGGAAGGAAAGTGGTGGTCTGTGACAATGGGACCGGGGTAAGTTTACCGCTTTAGTCTGACAGGCTATCAGCCCGTGGCTCGGTTTATATGGCGCCGGTATGAAGAACGATTTTGTGAAACAGGAAGTGGAGCTGTCAGCCTCCTAGCTAGCTAGCAGTAACTGGGTGGGTAGCTAGCTAGCCTGTTAGCAAGCTAATGTTCATTCATCCAGACCCGACGCGGAAACGGCACGTAGGGTGGGCGTAAATGTCGAGATAAATTCTTAATACACAGCTCCGGCTATAGCTCACACATCCACACAAACCTACAAATGAATGCAGACGAAGAACTGACCATTTACTACCGACGGCTACTGAGCTAAGGCAGCTAGCTACCCTGCTAGTTAACTGCTAGCATCGAGCAGCTGGCTGTGTGGTTTAAACTGTCTGGTTCAAGCTGTCTGGCAGCTGCGTCGGTCATTTGTTGTGCAAACGATGCGGAATTTGCAGACTCATTCACGTTGTACGTTTGGTTTAATTTTGAACGACAGTCGCTTAATTTGTGAACTGAATCTTGACGCTATGCTTTGTGTAAGGTTAGCGAGGCCGTGTCGGGTTAATTGAGGAACCAGCTTTATGTTTTCCTGTATATCAACTAGCACCAACTTCCCGGATACAAATGTCCCCCAACGAGCTGTTAGGGAGGTTTTTTAAGGCCTTTGGAAATAGCACACCGCAAACCTTCTCTCCTTATCCGTGCGTCTTTACACTGCTGTGCTTTTACAGATATTTACCGGATAGGTTTTTACTTCATGAATTGTGGGTGTGTAACAAGAGGTGTTAGGAAATAGTCTTAAATCGAGAACCACCGGCCACCAGCCCAATAATGGGAATATCTGCTCTACCGAGGGGACATTTTGGTGGCCCTGTTGTCATAATCCAGCTGGCTAGGATAATAGTATAATAGTGCATTAGGCTGGTGCATTTGTGGGATTTTCAAGCAGCTTCGTTTCTGCCCCATCCAGCATATAACATTTTCACTTTGCTGATGTGTGTTTATGTTGAAGAGTTAGTCATTGTACACGGCTAACACTGCCTATTTTGGCTTGTTGCGACTTCCTTTCTAAACCACCTCAGCCGTCAAAGAGGATGTTAGCTCAGCATGTTACTGACTAATAAGGCTTTTTTTGAGATGTGATTTTAAGAGCATTGAGCGAAGCCAGAAAAAAACTGCCCAGTGTCAAAGTTGAACTGAGAAATCAAGAGGAAGTGAGAAGAGTCTCAACCACAGCCATATATGTCACCAGCACATTTACAGAGCCCTGATACATGCTACTTTATGTCAGAGACCCCTGTGAAATCTGACAACTTTGCTTTGTGTATCCTAAAGACTACGTAGCTGCAAAACAACATGAAAGACAACTCAGAATTGTTGTCTTTCATTCAATTAAACCATGTAAGTTTAACTGGTTCTCTGAGATAATGATAATATCATCTCTGATTTTACCCATTGACACTGACAGTTTGGAAAAAAGTCTTTAGTCACATTCTTTAATTTTTATGTTATTTGAAGCTGTGGCACTAATAGTACAAATGCAGAAGAATCTAACATGCATACATATATACACATGCATGATATCATTATTTAAATCTGAGACAAGAATATCCTCACACTGTGATACAGCTTAGATGCTATATTTTCCTGGTCTTGAAGACCAGGAAAGAAGTTCAATGATTCCCTTCTTTGAGCTCATGCAACCATTGTAGTTGAGTCTCTGCCGCAGCGGCCATTGGTTTGACCCCGACCTGTGGCCCCCCCTGCGAGTCCTCCCTTTTCCTGTCACTCTTAAGTTGTCACTATCAATTCAAGGCAATAAAAGCCCCAAAAAAGATTTGAAGTATTGATAAATTCACCAAAAATATACGTAACCATTTTAATGACTGTGATAAGATGATTAAAAACTGTAAAACATGAAATACATGTTCTTCCATTGTGCTGGAGGCTAAAGCAGGGCTGACCATAGATGTTAATAGTTATTCACATACACAAACGGAGGTTCTGGGATTGTAGCGTTGGTGGTTACATTTTTATCTCAGTCTGAATGGTAATTAAGCCCACTGTGATCAGCAGGATGACAGTGACTTCGTCTCGCTGTGCTGCACAGTTTATCTCATCAGTACTTAAATGCATTTCCTCATCACTTCCTCTGTGCTTTGGTTGTCTTGTCTCTCTTTTTCTAGTTTGTCAAGTGCGGCTATGCAGGCTCCAACTTCCCAGAGCACATCTTCCCTGCGCTTGTTGGGAGGCCCATCATTCGCTCGACAGCCAAAGTTGGAAACATTGAGATCAAGGTAAGAACTGGTCCGCCTGATGTTCGTACAATGATCGTTTCATTTGACCAGAAAGTCTTTATATGAGGGGCGAACCTGGTCAGGAAACCAGTGATAAGACAAAAACATAATCTGTAAACAAGAGTGAAAAAGCAAGATAGGAAATTTTAAAGTTGATTTCTAATACAATCACAACATCAAAGCCACAGAGAAGATCTGATTTTGTAGTGAGCTCCAATAAGAGTTTTCAGACCATTCCAGTTTTGAAATCAACCCTCTAATCACACTTTCTACCTTTTTAGACATCCACATAGTACAAACAAGATGATCTCCAAAGATTTCCTGCACATATGAAATCTTTGAATAGATGCTGTGTTTTAGTTAAGGATTAGTTAATCAGGCAGTGGAGATCTAAATGTCCCACTATTTGAGCATGAAACTTATCTCTATTGTTCTCCTGTTCTTTACAATTCTTTTGTTTGTTTGTTCATCTTTTTTTTTTTTTTTTAAATATCTACCTTCCTCTTCCTCCATGTTTTGTTCCCCCACGATGAAGTAGAATGCCCAGAAGATGGTAAGTTCAGGTTGGTGTGTGCCTCCTGTTCTTGCCTGCTCCGGAGAGTTGTCATGTTTTGATCTCAACTGAAAAATTAAGCTCTTTTTGTTTTTAGATGCGTTTTTTCTTCTTTTTTTGCCCAGTGTGTTTTCTTTTGTTTCCTTTCATGTTTTTTTACTCACACAATGATTCCATTTTCTCCATCACAACTAGTTTGCTGATTTTTGGCGTTGGGTTTGAGTGTTGTTGGCCAAGTGAGTGGCAGAGCGTTAGATAGATGTTACAGCCATTACATTATTGCACTCCTATCTCCAGGCTGAAAGTGTTGCAGAAAATGGCTGTGATGAATCATCGGCCAGCTGTTATCGATGGAGTGCTAAAAGAGATTTTGGACCGATTCCATTTTCAGAGTCTCTGATCTGCTGGTGCATCCTGACAGTTACACCCCCCTCAATCCTGCTGCTATTTAAGGACCGAAATTATCACAACAGTTTTCAGCTAAAAAGAACTTTAATGTCAGCTGCAGCTTGAACGCTTTGTACTAAATGATAAATGCATCACAAATCTTTTTGCCTTACTGTTATGATGCACCCAAACATATTTTATTTAAGGAACGTCCAGTTCAGAGCGTTTGCTTCAGTTTCTGTGAGCGTTTCACCTTTACAAGTGCAGAGGAAATGTCCAAACTTGAGGATGCATGGCAGACAGCTGAAAGTTGGAGACGGAAGCCCATCTGTTTTTCTTTTTACTTTTTTTTTTTATTGAGAACACATGGAGGCAGTGCCTGTGACTGGTACTTTGTTAATGCCAAAGCACACAGGATGAACCCATAAAATGGCTGCCTTCAGTGGGCTTTTGATGTCTCCAAATGGAACGTGAGATGCTTGACTGTGTGGCTAACATCAAGCTCTAACCCAGCGGTTGTTTACATTGCCAGGCTGCCTTGCATGCAGCTAGTTGAATGGTACTAAAACAAGTGGTTTACTGTAGCAAGGGGGAAACAGAAGTGTTTCCAGGTGTATTTGCATGGAAAATAATGGCTTGTTGTGCATGCTGTGTAACTGAGATTTAAAGCAGAAAAGCTACTTTGGGCAAGGACGTGGAATGTGTCTGTTGTCATCTGACAGATGCCTTGTCTCAAGGCGAGTGAAAGCTGGATGATCCAGTTAATCTGATTTTATGAGACCAGCAGGCCAAGGGGGCAAGTTGAAATGACTGATTTTATTGCCCTAAACGAATACTCATCCCCACTCCCAGTCAATGATCAAAACTGGGTTTCAGACGTGGAGGGCTACACTGCTGATATTTCTGTTTTGACGTTTGACCCCTCCCTCCAGGACCTGATGGTGGGGGATGAAGCCAGTGAGCTGCGCTCCATGCTGGAGGTCAACTACCCCATGGAGAACGGGATTGTTAGGAACTGGGATGACATGAAGCACCTGTGGGACTACACCTTCGGGCCAGAGAAGCTCAACATCGACTCCCGCAACTGCAAGATCCTTCTGACTGAGCCTCCCATGAACCCCACCAAGAACCGCGAAAAAATCATTGAGGTAATTTCACATTTATTTCTGTGTGTGCAGCTTGAAGGTAATGTTTTTTTTGTTGTAGTGTGGAGGGAAAAGAAAAGGGGAAATTGGCTAATTAACGCCTTTCTCACTGTGGGCCAAAAGGTCTTTTTTTACTATGTATCACTGATGGATGTTGCACTACTCTGTCACAGAGATGTGCTGTGCTTGTACTTAGTGTCTGATGTTTGCTGGCTTCTCCTGCAGGTGATGTTTGAGACCTACCAGTTTGGAGGAGTCTACATTGCTATTCAAGCTGTGCTGACACTGTATGCCCAAGGTAAGAAGACACAATGGATGCTTTGACTGGAAGTTCAAAGAAAAAACACATTAACCCTTCCCTATTTACTTCTACAGTGTCCATATACACCCTCTCACCCATAAATGACACTTACCCTGACCAGCATTTTATCATTATATCTAGCGTTATATAACTGGTGAATTATTAGTAATTCAGAAGCTTAGAGACTTGTGGACATATTGTTGCAGTAATTAAATACCACACCTTTGTCAAATAGTTTGTGCAAAGATTTGTTTTGAGACGACTACCAGATATGGTATTCTTTGCCAGAAAGTCTAGACAGTCATGAACATCACTTCACAATGTTCCGGTTACAGATACAATATCCTGACATTATCTGAAGTGTTGTGATTTCCCGAAGCCCACCTGTGTGGTGCTTCAAACAGGATCAGGTGAACTGAAAGTACTGGCACCTACACTAAGTCTGTTTTGAACATACAGCCTTGCATGAGGCCTGTGTACTTTTCTGCTGTTCTGTCTCTGAGTTTGTTACCAACTAGTAGCTGTTATTAGCAGTTCATTGTTACACTAGATGTGTTATCTTTACAGGTTTTGTGTGTTTACCCAGCCAACAGGGCTAACAATCAGTAGCCCAAAGCACACAATGGATAAAACTCAGAAACAAACACACCTATATTGGTAGAATATTAACTTGTGTGTGTGTGTGTGTGTGTCTGTGTGTCTGTGTGTCTGTGTGTCTGTGTGTCTGTGTGTGTCTGTGTGTGTGTCTGTGTGTGTGTCTGTGTGTCTGTGTGTTTTTAGGCCTTCTGACCGGTGTGGTGGTGGACTCCGGTGATGGTGTGACACACATCTGTCCAGTGTATGAGGGTTTCAGCCTGCCCCATCTTACAAGACGTCTGGACATTGCTGGCAGGGACATCACCCGCTACCTAATCAAGGTATCTAGTCAGTCATGATAGTCTCTTGGTGTGAGACAGAGGAAAAAAGAAAGAAACTCAGTTTAAACAATTCAGTGTCATTAGAGTGTATACTGTAGGGATGTTTCATTTTGATTTAAAAACTATGTGGATTCGAATGATAGATTCTAGATTATAAGATTCACTGGTGCTGCACCATCATAATATACTATAGCGCCACCGTTCTTATAAAACAGTTTGTTCAGTTTATATTTTAGCACTTCAGTCTCTTCAATGGGTTATAATGATTTGTCAGAATTGTCAGTATCATCTAGAGTTGGTCTGGCGTGTATGTGTGTCTGCACTGCATTTATTAACCCAAAACGGGCCGTGCCATTTTTTTTTTGTTTTTCAAGGCTAGGGAAGTCATGACTTGCCCTTCTCTGGAAAAGAGTTAATTGAGCCAGGCCATACAATAACGATAGCAATCATACAAGCTTATGCATGTTAAAAATAAATAATAATATACAAATTCAAAGTTCAGATATCAAAATCGGTATCGGGAAGGAAAAAAATGGTATCTCAACATTTGTATAAGGAAATAACAGGTCTTCATTTTGAGAAGACTTAGCTATAGCGGTACGACTAGTTCCTAGATCTCAGTAGGTCACTGCTTCCTGACCTTCCTTGCCATCCTTCTGATTTTTCTTTCCCATTTCCGTGTCCTCTTTGTCCCTCTCTGCATGCAGTTGTTGTTGTTGAGGGGTTACGCTTTCAACCACTCTGCTGACTTTGAGACAGTGCGCATGATGAAGGAGAAGCTCTGCTATGTGGGCTACAACATCGAGCAGGAGCAGAAGTTGGCACTGGAGACCACCGTGCTTGTGGAATCATACACGGTACATATTCACGTTTTAATTTCCATTGTAATAAAACATGGATGAATTAACTGAGGTTTATGCATAGAAGTGGATTTTATGTAACAAAAGTAAACCACATGTATGGCATCAGTGCACAGGTTGGTACAGACAACTATAAGTTTAGGATGTGGCTTCTTGTACCTGTTTGTGAATGTTGTTCCACAGATTTGTTCAACTGCTGCTGAACTCATTATGTAAACTGGTGTTTGTGGTTGTCATTTGATTAGGTGTGCGGGCACAGTAGCCAGTGTGCAGCCAGCCTTAAAACAAGTTGCTGCCCTCACATGGACATTTTGTGCATTCTTCACTCAGATGGCATTAAATAGGAGGAAAAGGAATTACATAATAGATGGTGCAAAAGTTTAAATAAAGACCCAAAGAGAGACAATATAATATCTAATTTGTGCAGTAATAAACTCCAACATAGGCGCCCGGTTAGCTCAGTTGGTAGAGCTGGCGACCCATCTACGGAGTTGCTGCAGCCTGGGTTCGAGTCCGACCTGCGGCCCTTTGCTGCGTGTCATCCCCTCTCTCTCTACCCACCATTCTACAGCTGTCTCTGTCCAATAAAGCCAATAAAAGGCCAAAAAAAATAACTTAAAAAGAAAAACAAAAAAACTCCAACATGTCTCCCATTGTACTGTATGCTCATGGTGACCCAGCATTCCTAGATGCTGTTGGCTGTCTAATTAAATAGACCATGAAATGATGCAAAAAACAATATGAAAAAGAACATCTCTTATTAAAGAAACAGAAGAATGAACTAAATCAGATACATGAGCTCAAGAAAACCAACCAGGACACAGTGAAACTGAATGTGAGGACAAAGAATGTTTTTTGGGTGGAATATAAATGTGCAGTAACTGCTCAAAAACATTACATTTACGTATTCATATCTTGTTAGACACATTAAGCAATGTTTTTATTTTAGGTTGGCCAATGGCCATTTTAGTGTAAAATATTTCCAGCCCTCAGGGATTCTCATTTTTGTTTAGTTTACTTTTTAAATGTAAAATGAGTTCTTTTTATGCACTCCACTTGCACAGAAGTTTCACATTTCTGCTTAAAATAGCATTGTAGAAAAAACCCCTCCCAAAGGATTTGTTATTCATAAGTGGCAGTATTTTGGAGTAATCAAATCTAATGGGGTAACTAAATCTGTTTCTGCACTGAGCTAAGTACACTACCACATGCGTGTTGTTGGCTCTCTAGGACAGGGCAGTGCTGCTGACTAACTGTTTTCTCTGGGACTTAAACATATGGGGGTGCAGTGCTCCTCCACCAGGCTTGCTTTTCTTTCCAAGGCCCTTTTCCCTGCAGAGGGAACCACAGAATCTAAACGCAGGTCCTGAAGTCTGTGTTCCTGCACGCCTTACCGAGCACATGTTGTGTCTCAGAGCTCACTGACCATGAGTGTTTGGGTTAGCGTAGGCGTAGGCGTGTGTGTGTGTGTGTGCGTGTGCGTGTGCGTGTGCGTGTGTGCGTGTGTGTGTGTGTGTGTGTGTGTGTGTGTGTGTGTGTGTGTGTGTGTGTGTGTGTGTGTGTGTAGGTGTGTGAACATGTATGTGTAAGTATCGTTTTGTGTGCATGAGTATGCCGAAACAAGGAGGGCAATGTAACTGTGGCCGAAGGGCCCTGAACCGTGCGTTACATCATTTCCTGTGCAGCCACTTTGCGGCGGTGGCTGGGCTCCACTTCCTCCCACTGCCCTCGGCTGAATGAAGCCTTTTTATAGTCACACACACGTTCACTCTACTCAGCTTGGAGCCTACACACTCTGTGCTTTAACTCACTCTACAGTATTATCAGAGTCTTGCAGGACTTTATTTTCAAACTGCACAAATCTTTCTTTGAAGAAGGCTTATTGAGAAGTTATGACTTCCTTTCATACATCACAAACAACCATTGAACAGTATAATTTTGATTCTTACATTCAAGATTTATGACTCTGTTGAGTCACACATTAAATCCTACCTCTTCAGTGGTGTCATATTTTCTTTTTTCCTTCCCTTTTCATCTCATCCCTCCCACACATCTCCAGCTGCCAGATGGTCGTGTGATCAAGGTGGGAGGAGAGCGGTTTGAGGCCCCGGAGGCTCTGTTCCAGCCCCACCTCATCAACGTGGAGGGTGTTGGAGTGGCCGAGCTCCTCTTCAACACCATCCAGGCAGCCGATATAGACACCAGGTGAGGCTAACAAATGTGTACAGATACACTCCACTGATGATAAAGATGGGCAGACACTTCAATATATACTTTACTGAGAGTGTTTCCACTCTCAACATTAACAAGTCAGAGCACACACACACACACACACACACAGATATGCAAAATGGTGGTGTCAGCCCAGCAGACCTCCCACTGACGCAATAGAGGGGTTTGGACATCTAAATATAACTTGCACAGCAAAGTTCTGCATGGAAAGTAAGAAAATTGATCTTCAGGCATGTCAAGGAGCGGAAATATCCCAGAAAATGTACACTTGGAAACCCAATACATGATTGTTTATTCCTTGCTGTTGGAGCTCAGTGATCTTTTTGTAGACTACACCTTAAGACACTGCAATGTCTTGAAATTAATTTTTTAACATTTGTAGACTTAACATGGGAAGATAAAGCCCATTGTCAAGGAAACAAAACCACTACTTGTATGATTTGAAGATGCTTCTTCTCTTCCACTCTGTATGCCGTTGGGTCTCTTCCTGTTCTCACTGTCTCTCTGTCTTCCCGTCATCAGGTCTGAGTTCTACAAACACATTGTGTTATCAGGAGGATCCACCATGTACCCGGGCCTGCCTTCTCGACTGGAGAGGGAACTCAAGCAGCTGTACCTGGAGCGTGTCCTCAAGGGAGATGTGGATAAGCTTTCGGTGAGATATCAAAGGCTCATTTACAGTCACACTGTTGACAGTATGAAGAGCATTACGGAAGGACTCTGAGCTGAAACTGTTCGGATGTGGTTTACAGTAAGACTGTGACTTTCAAAACAGGTCATACACCATTAATCTGAGCTCAAATTAGAACTAATCAGTCTCGCTTGCACTGTGACCAGTTTCATCTAAAAAGAAAGTATTAGAGTCCATTGAATGTTTAAATGAGCTAACGTTTGGTTTTACTGCACCGGGCCTTTCAGATGGTGTGAATTAGTATTTCCAGCTGATTCTCTAGGTTTGTTTAAGTTGGCCTTGGCAGGGTTTCCCACATGTGAGAGCGCAGTAAAGGTGCAACTTACAACATAAGTGGCGACTGACACCTGACATTATCTCCTTTGACCTGATGAGGTTAAACGCCACACACTGTAATTTATTTGTCTGTAAACTCAAACACTTTGAATTGTGTGCAGTTACTAATTGAACTGGGTCTGCAAGGTTTCAGAGCAAACTTTACCATGCAATGTCTCAGACTGGTGCAGTGTACGCACACCACCACCAGGTGGTACCAGAGGTTCACAGACCTTCATTTACCTTAAACTGAACATTTTAATAACATATGTGGGGTTCATTTCCCAATGTATATATATATATATATTTGTTTTGGAAAAATATCACTACCTTACATTTCCACTTCAATATCCCAAAGACAGAGATGATTTTACACAGAACTATTTTGTAAACAAAGGTCTACAGATGACTCATAAGCAAGTCATTATGAGCTTTACTTTACTGCCCACAACTGCAGCCGACTTCAACTGTGTATCTCTTTCTCAAATAGACGTCTTTATTTATAGTGTAGTTCATGTTTTTGTGCAATCTGTAACAAGGTTGTTTGATAGATCTCCAAATATTTTTTGTACCAAATTCTACTTAACCGCTGTTGGCTTGAAAGATGGCTGTTAAAAAGTTTACTCTTTCATAGAAAGCAGTGGCTGCGGTCAGCTTGAATTCATTTCAGTTACAATAGATTCCACTGTTAACAGAATTTCACAGGGGGGAAAGAGGCATCAAAACAAATATTGTAAACCATTTGATTGCATATTTCAGTCCTCTGGTATTCCAAATGCTCCGTCCGACTTTCCTAACACTCATGATATGGCTAAATGCATGATCTCCATTTGTAGCTTGCACCTTTAGCTGTTTGTTAGTTGCTTGCAACTGCGTTTAGACAGCTAGCCACATGAGCAACAAACAGAAGCTGTGTCTTTCGCCCTATTTGGAGAAAATATGAGTGCTTGGAACATACTGAGCATACAGACACAGAGCAGAGAAGTGGATTATGCGGCAGGAATGGTTTGAGTTAAGTTTTTATTGATGTTTTGATGCTTCTTCCATCTTAAAAACATGTCACCTTTGGAGTAAGTTGTTTCTGACATGAACTGAAACCACCTTTTCAATCTTATTTTGCGTGGAGTATCACTAAAACTGCATTATTATTATTATTTTTTTAAAGGAATGGCTGTATAATGTGAAATGTGTCACTTGTAGTAACAAACCAACAGAATGATCACCCAACTCCTCAGTTCTTTGCAGTTTTCAGCCCCTTGTGGTCTCTTGTAAGTTGCTTGTTTTGGTTTTACAACCTGAAACTCTACCGTGTTCATGCTCACCGCTCTCATTTGTGTCGATGCCTCATGCAGGCAGGCAGCTGTCTTTACATATTTCCCTCAGGAGTTGGTGGAGACCAAAAGAAAGCTTAAAGAGTGAATGTTGGACTTAGATTCATCAAGTGACTAAAAATGACTTCAAAAAAATAATAATAATGAATTAAATAAAATGAATTAAATAATTTTACTCTGGATTCGCTAGAAGCTTAAATTGGCACCAGTTTGCCAGCATGTGCGCTGTATCCACTGGGGGTGGGACATTTTTTTTTATTCTTAGGTGCATCGCGATTCTCGCTTTTATGATTGTCACAGTGCAGAAAAGTTTATAATCGGAAATTCAAAACTGAATTTTAAACATTATGATTACCTGTAACAGTACCTGGCTGCAAACAGAATGGTGGATCTCTGCACGTACGTTCCTTGTGGCTGAACTGAATTGTATGGTGAAATGTAACGCACAAGAACATGTACGCCGTGTCTCCGTTCTAAGCTAGGCTAACAGTTAGCTACTGACCGGCATCCCCTAGCTTAGTAGCAGCTATTTGTCAAGCAATTCATAGCATGCTGAAGTCTGTGCTGTTAATTTACTACATGGATGGTGCTACTGGCACATTTGGATTCTTATCTTGTTGGTTCTTTGCAATACTGACACAGTAACAAATGGCAAATGTAACCTTTAATATCCTATTAATGAAAGATAATGTTAGTAAATTCATTGTGGATCATTACAAATACAAAAGTAAAAGTAGTTGCACACATATAGAAATAAGAAAAGTTACAGTTGATAGATTGAAACAAAGATCCATAACGCTATGTATTGTTGCTGAAACTGGTTGAGCCAAGCTGCCTTGGACACCATAGTTATGACAGTTGTTCTCAAGTTTGCTCTGGCAGCAGTTACACATTTTGATTTGAATGTACAAACACTAGGAGGGTACCTGACCGTCTTAAAAGGAATTCAATTCTGTTGCTTCAGAGGGATACAATATACACCTATAAACTAAAAGTGTGATGGTTTCAGCAGTGGATCATTCGTGCAGGAAGCTGTTTTTTTTTAGTTTCAGTTTGCACCATCAGACCTGTGGCACACTGTCACTACTGCAGGAGGCAAAAACTTTAATGAAATTAAATTAATTATTGGCCGTTTCGTCCTGACTGGTTTTCCCATATTATGCTTCCGTATTTTGGCTGCTATGGTTGTGAAATATAATTATTATTAAAAAGTATAAAAATATTTGAATTATTAGCATTTTATGTGGATCAAATTTGGATGCGAATGTCTGTAGTCCCGACTGAAACGGTGCAAAATAAAGTTCATACGGATTAGGAAACCTAAGATCTTTTATTACATCCGAGTTGAGAAAAACTGGAGTTCCTACAGGACATTTCTTTGTTACCCAGGGCCTCGTTATATGTCTCTGTCCCCTTGTCTTGTAGAAATTTAAGATCCGGATTGAGGATCCTCCCAGGCGAAAGCACATGGTGTTCCTGGGCGGAGCCGTGCTGGCCGACATCATGAAGGACAAGGACAACTTCTGGCTGACCCGGGAGGAGTACCAGGAGAAAGGAGTCCGCGTGCTGGAAAAACTTGGAGTCACCGTCAGATAAAGCACTGGACGGACAGACCATGCACACGCACACACGCACACACACACACACACACACACACACAGATATACATGATATTAATACATTTCCCCCTTCGCCCACATCGCAGAGTATATATCTATTTATCCCTCTTCTTCCCTCTTCGGGCTCTTGATATTCCTCAAACATCAGAGGGAATCGAGCCACCACCTCCCCGCTCTCCTCCTCTTCCTCCTCCTCCTACTCTCTGCCTCTCTCCTCTCCTGGTTTGGGATTGGCTCGCACTTTTTCCTTGCAAGCTCAGAGAACCAATTCCTTCTTTGCAGACTTACACCGAAGCCCCTCCTTTACTTTAACTATGAATTGAAGGGTTAATGTTGGCCTGCCGGTGATTTTCATCGGGTACCGGCGCAGAAGGTTAAAAACGGGGCACGAACCGTTAACCGCGAACATGTTTACCTGCTAATAGGTTTGTTGGGAATTGAAGTCGGCAGGTAAACACGGCATTGAGACAGTTTAGTTCCCTCCCTTGATTAAACCTCCGGAGAGGACAAACTGATGCAAAGTTTCTAAGCAACTCGTAAGCGTCTGTAATATCACAATCAGGGTCCACCACAAACAGCCACGGGCCGCTTTCAGCATCTGTTCCAGGTGAGCGAGAACTGATCACATTTTTATGTCGATTTTTATAAACGATATCATGACTTTTCTTTTCTGGGAGAGGGATTACTTTTTGTTTTGCTTTTTCTTTTTTGTTGGATGTATGAGTTAAATTTATCTTCTAATTTGTTTTCATTGACTTTTTGTTGCTGTGCACTACTACCATTGTAAATGGAGTGTATTGTGGTAACAGAAGTTCCTCCATGTTTTTATGAAGAACTGATGGTTGATTTATAAAGGGACAAATACACAAAGCAAAGCCCCCTGAGCTTGACATCGGCTGTGTGACGGTACTTTGGGCTTTGTGGGTGGTGAGACAATGATGGGCTGCGTGTGTAAGGGGGTGGGGAGCGATACTGTTTGTTCCTCTTCCGACAGCCTCGCCTCGGCCTCCTCTCCCGGTGTAAATCTCAAGTTGAATGAACGGGTCTGAGCAGTTGTAGCAATATTGTTTACTGTGACGACGCCATAGCACCTCACCTGTCGTATTCCTTCAGATCCACCGAAGCGCGGAGGCAGTCGCAGGTTGGGGTGAGATGGATTTGAATCTGGGCGCAGAGCACCGGAAAACTGGGAAAACAAAACGGTATTTTATTGATGTTGAAATGCTATTGAGACCATATTTAAGTTCTCAAGTGTTTCACTCCCAACGGTTGACTTAATGATTACTGGAGGCACTTCCATTTTGAGTATGATAAATTTGTATTTTTTTTTTTTTCCTCTTTCCATGAACGTCTATCCAGTGCCAAGTGCAGTTAATGTTAACTGGATCGCTCTGTTTTAATGTCTTTCTTTTTTTTCACTGTTTTTGTTTTATTTTCCTGTGTTGTTCATAGCATAACTGCCTAACGCTGATTTAAATAAAGAAAAGTGATTTATAATGATGTTTGTGCAGCAGATTCTTTTTTTTTTTTTCTTTTTTACACAACTGGGTTTACTAAGTTATAACCTGCAAGGTTATTTGAAAGTAAATAGAAGTAATTTGAAGGCTTGCTCTGGATTTAGAATAGATAGTTGAATGAATCAGATATTTTCAAGTGTGGTTCACAGTAGGGCTGCTTCACTGATAATCGATTTATTTCTCAACTAATTTCTTCATTCTAGTAGTCTAAAAGCCCATCACAAATCTTCAGACCCTAATCTGATATTTATAGTATTTTATTTTTCCTGTATATTTAGTTGACTTTGATATAAAACAGAAAAGCAGTAAATTCCCTCATTTCAGAAGCCAGTGAATATTTAACTTTTTTGCTTTAAAAGAGAAAAAACTCTTGACTGACTTAGTATAGTTCAGTTTACAACAGTGTTTTTAGTTTGAACAATCATTTCCAGTCCCTTTGAAGAGGATCCTACTTTATTCAGTTTCCATTTGTGCAGTGTACACAGATCACCAATTAACAAAACAATCCCAACTCAAGGTCCACTTACAAGCTTTTTTCCTCACTTTTATCCGAACCATGGTCTTCATCAGAGCGTGAAGTTTGCTCAGAGTTTTTTATCAGTAGCACCTTTAGGACTTCTCAGCCATTTTGTCTTAAAAGATAAGCATCAGAAGTTCATTACTGACCTTGGAAATAACAACAAAACAACCCCAACTGAGATATCTACTGAGCCCGCATGGCAGCAGACCCATCTCCATGACGGCCGAGCCGACCCCTCTCGCTGCTGAAGACCGTGTGATACAGCTGAAAGCTCTAGGAAAAACTAGAAATTGTTTTTGTCAGTCAGAAATACAGAATATCATTCAAAGCCTGTAATGACATGTTCTACTTGTTGACATGCAGCCAGTCAACTCGAGCTGTGAGTCATCTTTGGACTGAGAGGAACAATTGATTTTTTTTTTAAATCAAAAGTTTAGTGATAAACATCAGCAAAACTACAAACGGAGCTGCCACACAGAACTGATTTCCAAATCATCTCACAGTATCTGTCCTAATATTTCCTGCTCATCTTTAAGTAGCAGTCTTGCTTCAACTGTATCACTGTTAAAATGAGAAAGAACACCTTCTTACATTCCTTGTTACAAATAAATAGCTGAATTCATAAACAATAAAAACCCTTCCTTGACTGAATACACTCAGGTGCCTAACTTGGTCTGGTATGACCAGTTGATTATGATGACCAGTGCTGCTATTTAAGTGACATTAGTTAGTTTGCTGACTTTATGATGATTACGTATTGTGTTTTATCCTTTTTTATTGGCTAGTGGCTGCAAACTGTACCACTTTACAACACTAAACACTGTAAAACTTCAATTAAAAGCAGGGTCCCAATTAGACGCAGGTCTCCTTTACTAGCCTGGTGTGGCAACACGTTTTGACAATTAAAGGCAGGTCTCAATTAGAGGCCTGGTCTGGATTTTATAGACATTCTTTGCATGTATAAAACCTCTTAAAGCCCACCAGGTTGCCCGCTTGACCGAGGTTTATGCTGCTTAGATCACCTACACAAATACAAATGTTTAAACTTTTGTCAATTTTGACATGCTGCACATCGTTAGATCAGTTAGATTCTCCACATGAGCACCAAAGTATCACATGATCAAATAAATTATACATAATTGATTGTTATTCGATAGCCTCATTTTTTTTGTAATATTCATACTGGGTTAAATACACAATTTGGTATTTCACATCTTTGCTGAGCAAGAGTTTTATGCAAAAGGAAAAAAGGTCCCATATAGAGGCCTGTCCAAGATAGAGGCAGGTTGAGTTCAGTGATTGAAGCAAATTCATTAATTGAAGTTTTACGGTACGTGTAAAGCCGCTCAGCAACGTGGAAACTGCTTTGTTACTGTCATCAGCACTTTCCTTGAGCTTAATGTGGTGTCATCAAATGTCCAAAACCCCAAATACATTGAGTTTATTATAATGTAAGACAAGGACAAGCTGACTAATTTGAGAACCTGGAACCATCAAATGTTTGATGTTTGCTTGAAAATGGATAGAATTGATGATCAAAATAGTTGCAATCAACTAATCAATTACTAGCTTACCCTTTGCAACTCTAGTCTTGTGCAGAGAGCTGGAGGGGAGATTAGATGGCTGATAGATGAACTCTGCTACCAGAGGAGAGGATGGAGGTATGAAGGTGACTGAGCCTCTGCACACAGACCAGAAGGAGGAAGAGGAAATGGAACAGTGGCAGAGGACTGGCGCCACCAGAGGAAGAGGCTCTCTTTCCGTGCTTGAAATAAAGATCTCACCCAGACTCTTCCGGCCTTGTTCCATTTTAATCCCTCGACTCTTGCCACTTCCCTCTTAACCCTGAACTGTTACCTCTGAAGCGCTGTTTGAAGTTTCCTCCCCATCAGAGTACAAACAGAGGCATCACCGGGTTTCACCAGAGATGGGAAGAGACTCAAATACTTTACTTTGCTACAGTTTTAAGGGAGCTTGGCTAAAAAGACTTCACCTTCACTGCCTTCCAGAAAGAAATATTGTACTTTTTGCTCCAATATATTTAATTTCTCTGACAGCTGTAGTTGCTGGTGACTCTGCCAGGTAACAAGCTCAACAATCTTCTTTTCTCTCAACAATTCACTCAACTTTTCATGTACTTACAAACAGCATTACTTTCAGCTTGAATGTACAGTGAATATTAGACATTTTAGATGGAGCACTTTTGTCATGACTATACTTTGAACCTCAGCTTTTAAGCCAAAGGGCTCAGAAAAATGATGTGATCTGATCAAAAGCTCCAGAATAGCTACTAAATGAACCTTGTCCTCAATTAGATATATATTATTTTTCAACTGAAATTAAAAAATAAAAGTCTTGTTTCAGATAAAAGGAACTCTCTCTCACCATTTTTTCATTTTGTATCTCTAGTTTTGGGGCCTTTAATTATTAATATATTACTATATAACGTGTTCAGTAATTTGACAGACTTTTGGTGCTGGAGTACATTTCAATGCTAAAACATTCACTTGAATTTTACTTTTTTGGGGTAGTTTATGAGAAAAATGACTTAACTGTAGTAGTGTTCTGTACTGCTATTACCTGGATAAACGCCACTGGTTTTTATCTTTTGTACAAACCCTTATCAGCTTAAACGTTTTCCCCAGAGTGGGAGTAGAGAGAGGTTTTCCTCAGCAGTCTCACATGGTTTATCTCAGGTGCAGGGATTGAACTCAGGCAACGCTTAAACAATCATCTGGCTAAGCTTTACTTTTGCAACATCCCTGCTGAGTGTGGGCTTATCAGGGAATTTATACCAGACGGAGAAACAACAGGCTGAAATGCTGCAAAAGTAATGCTCACTGACCAGAAATGTAGAACAAAATCTCAGCTGTAAGGAAGAATCACCAAATTTTGCCTATCTTTGGACATGAGACCACATCACAAAAGCCACCCATTCCTGTAAACTTCACCAGGAAGTTAGCGCCGGTGCTTTGTGCACCCAGAGAGGGGCCACGCTGACCCCATTACACGAGCAGATATCTTAAATGTTTGCACATGTGGACTGTAATGCTGTTTGCAGCCGTTGAGCTGCTTAGCAGGCCCCCAAAAGCCCTCAGGGACCTTCTTTTTCTTCTCTTTTCTCCCTCCTCCTCCCCTCTCTCGCGCTCCATCATTATCGCCCACATGCTTTTCCAGAGACATCCTGAGTGAAACAGCTCGACGTCCTCGATGGCTATCACATGTTCCTGCTGAGGAGGGAGGCAGCAGGGGAAAGACATCTTGAGGAAAATGAAACAGGGTGTACTAGGCTGAGGTTATTTTCTTTGTGCTTTCTTTCATGAAATACTTCACAAAGAGTTTTTGCTTCAAACTATAGTTTTTAAAACATAATTAGAAACAGATTTTTTTTTTTAATCCTCATGAAGTCATAGCAATTTTATTTCTCTCCAAAGATTCTTGTTTGTTTTTAAAAAACCTGTTGAGGGACTTTATATATGGCTTTAAACTGTCTGTCTTATGTTTATGAGTAAGGGACTTATTGAATAAGGGACCTGATGACTATTTGTCCCTCTCAAATGCAATTATTTCTACTTGTTATGACCCTTTCTTCATTACCATGCACCAGCAGGTCAACATTGGACTTTTTCCCTCTGGTTTATGACCAAATACCTGCAGAACTGATCAGCTGATCTTTGCGTTTAGTGCTAAGCAAATGTTAGCATGCTAAAACACTAAACTAAGATGCTGAACATGGTAAACATTATATAATCTGAACATCAGCACATTACCATTGTCAGTGAGCGCATGTAAGCATTCTGACAGTAGCATTTAGCTCAAAGCACACCTGTGTTTTAGTTTCGCCAAAATCTACGCCTGTAAATTCCTTTATTTGTGATTGATTTTCATGTTCTATCTCATCGGTGTCCATTTACAGTAACCCTTTGATGCATGGGATTTGATGCACTGATAGAATACATTAATAAAATGGGCAGAACATGGAAATAAATGATGACACATGCAGCAGAAATGCTGCGGTTTGTCTGTCTAGTGGGCTTTTTTTGTTTTACACCAGATATTTATGGCGAAGTACTTTCTGTCCGAGAGTAAAATTAAGCAGCAGACTCACGTGTGGTTTCACTGTTTTCTCTCATTTTATTGGAGGCGGAAGGTAAGACACACATTTCACTTTAGTTTTCTCACAGACCTGGCCACCCTTCAGTATCTACAAAGTACTTCCTGTTCCTTCTTGAAAGCAAGAGCTACATCCATCGTACATGTTAGAAACAGTTATTTTTAAAAAACAAAATAGAAATAAAAATGTACAACATACACTTGATATATATATAATATAATTTTTGCTCTTTTTTTTTACAGAGGTAAAAATACTAAGCGTAAAAAATGGGTCTAATTCATTACAGGGAGTCGTTTCTTTAATTTTTCAATTTAAATACACAAGGAGATAAAGAGGATGCGTTCAG